TGAATTAAGATGAATATATAAGAAAAAATATATTTTATTTATCACAGAGTTCAAGGATTGAAATTCCGCTGCGAGGATCAAAGTGATTTGAATGAATCTTACTCCGTGTTTCTGCTTTCGGATTGTTTGTATATTCGGTCTTCAGCATAATTGCAGGATCTCTAGGTGCTTTCTACAGCGAACCTAATCTTTTAGTGATGGTCACTGGCGGATGGCTGTACTTAGGTAGAATAATAAAATAAATTGTAATTTCCAAAAGCTCGAAATACAGTCAACCCTCGGTTAACGCGGCAAGTCCGTACCGTGGAGTGTGGGGACCGTGCTATAGAAAACTCTTCATATCAAGTTCCTGTAATCACTCATAGGTTGCGCGAGGAACTTATGGGCTGTTGAACAAAAACCGTGTAATAGGAAGTCCGTGTAGTCGGTGGGATGTCGGATTTTTAGCTCCGCGTAATATGGGACCGTGCACCCACAGTGCCGTGTTAACCGAAGGTTGACTGTATTTTGTTTTGACATAAGAGTCTATACCAAAGAAATAGAATTCATTTTACATCAAATATTACTTTTCAGGTGGTTCTTCAGCTTCTGTTTGTAGCAGATGTATCCAGACGCCGGGTCCATTTACCGGAGCACGATCGTAGTAAGCCTGGTCGGCAGGTAGTCACATTCTTGCTCATTTGTAATGTAGCTATGTTTGCCATCTACACGTTTGAAGCCCAGAAGGTTGTCGCTAATCCAGTAAGTAAAATATAAGCATCAATATTATCACTAGAACTCAATTTGGTAGAAAGTTTCCACGGAGAAGCTACTTATAAAAATTTCTTAGGAGAATGCGAATTTGAAACATGAAACTTTTGGGACCACGAGCATGATTATTAATATAATATATTATCTTCAAATATCCAACAAATGTATAATTATTTTTAGGTGCAATTGGACTTCTATGGTTTTTTGGCTTGGTCAATAGTGCAACGTGTCTGTTTACCACTCTGTATATTCCATAGATTCCATTCAGCAGTTACGCTAGCCGAAGTATGGAAGACTACATACAAGGCAAGATTAGAGTAAGTTAAGATTTTGAGGAATACTCAAATCATTCAATAACTCTAAAAAATATCGCTGGATAACTAAAAGTGAAGAATGTAAAGAAATTATATTACTGAAGGTATCAGTTGCATTCTGAGAATATATGGATATAAAAGATAAAAGGTAAATGAAAGTTTGTGTGTGCACAAAAAATCGATATTTGAGGTCTACTGAAACATCATATAAAACAAAATATAATCTATATATATGTATATGTATATAGCACTATATATGCACTTTGATTGTTGGATTATTGAAAATCATATTATTCTATTCATTTGCTGAATAATGAAAAAAGGAATAATTTAATATATATAAAAGAAAAGTTATTCAACAATATATATAACATATATATATATATATATATATATATAATAAATCTATATTCACGGTGGATGAAAAGGCTTTGGACCTTATTCCAAATTTGTATTATTACCACTCTGCTACATTTGATTCACAAATAGGATATAGAATTCTACAATTGTAGCAGAAATCAGTTAGAATCAAGATCTCTTGAAATGCCAATATCTTCATCGATTTTATGATTAGTACACCTAAAACATCCGAAACTCCGCAATTGTTTATTACATTGTATTTAAAATTTGTAGCATTTAAAATGCTGAGGAAAATATATGCTCATGTGGAAAACTTCGATGCACAACGCTCAATTATATCGTAAAGTATACATATATAATTTTATATGAAGACATAAATTTAATAAAATTTGTAATGATACTTTAAAAATAACAATTTCGTAAATACAATGCATATAAACAATTTGTTATTTGGAATGCATATTTATTACAAGAAGATATCTGTTATCGAATGCTCAACATCTAAAATTATAAACCTATATCTACTGCCAATATTTTTTAAAACATTTCTAATATATTGCTGTTTTTTTGTTTTATCGTTATGGAAAAATAATATTGTCGTTATTAATATATTATATTTTATTTTATTTAATATATATTTATATAAACATTAAAGTAGCTTCGTGTACATATTAACATTCATCTTTTTAAACAAATCTATATAGACTCATAATAAATTAATTAATAAACCGTACATAGAATATTATAGATATATAATATAAACTAGAAATTTCGTACGATTTTTTAAAATACTTTGATATGTGATTTACAATTTATGATATATAAGTTATTTCACATTTATAAATTGATGTGATTAACGATATCGAGATATTAAAAATGAACACACATATAAACAAAAATATTATATATCAAGTCATTATATTTAAGTTATAACTATGTGTAAAATATTATGAAATATGTCGAATACTATAAGAAGAATGTGTACCGTTTCTGCAAGATTATATTTACAAATCATTTCTATTACATACTGTTAAAATTTTATTTGAAATATCCTGTGTATAAAAATATTTCATTTCTTTGACGCATTGCGAGATAATAAGTTCTTATTCTACTAATCTGTAATTTTAATTAGAATTTTAAAAATACATTTTGGAACGGTATACATTGAATGAGACTCTTTTAATGTTCTCAATTTGATGTTAGTTGAAAATTTAAATATAGTACTTAAAATTATAAAAAATCTATCAACGTCTGTACTTATAACTAAAATACATATATAACATCACACTCATATCATGTTTTATTTAGTTATTTCTAAAATATTTCTCATGATTTCATATTTACACTCAAACATATAATTCTCATTTTTTTTGTTGATGGTATGCATTTATATCTAAGGGACCCCCATGTATTAATAAATAGGTTCTAAGGCCCAATAGATTTAAATTGAATCGCTTCTTTCTTAAATGATTAAAATAAATTCTATAAATATATTTTGACCAAAAGTAATATAGATTTTTAGGACCAATCATTTAGTGGATTTTAATAATACTCATGAAAATATTTTTTATTGATCTAACGTTCACATTAGTTTCATTATTTTAATAGATTAAGTTTTAGTTAACAAGTTGATGCTAACTTATTTTTATTATACTAATATTGAAATGAATATATAAATTATTTTTTTTAACCCTTTCCACTTTCGAATTGCGAGATTTATATGTCGGCATCCGAGTGGAAAGGGTTTTATTATACGTAATGGACGTAATCACCTGATACACTAATTCTGAACACGCAAAACAATATCTTTTAATAAAAAACTAACAAAAGTATTATTGAGAAAAGAAATAGTTTTTCAACGTCATAAAAAATATATTTAAAATATTTTATGATTGTAGAAATATAGTTTCAGTAAAAAGTATAAATATGTTCAGAAATACTATATGAAATAAGTATAACTTTTATTAGGATAAACTACAATCTCTCTTTAGTTCTAATTATTCAATTGTTACTATAAAAATTACTAAAAAATATGCATAAATAATTAATTTAAAATATCGATACGAACAAAATATGTCCAAAAACATTTTATTTATTTTAATTATTTCTTATAGTAAGCGATAAATTATAAGCAACATAATAACATAAATCATAAAATTTGTAATTTTTTCTGAAGGTTCTTGGTTAACCTTCCATAATCCCAAGGGCCAAATATTAAAAATAATTAAAAATTATCAAATCAAGAGAACTTGCTTATTTGTCTATTTATCTGTATACTACTACATTAGCGAATTGCTTCGTATAATACTAGAAATATTCTGTACTATTATGTTAATATTATTATAAAATGTACTTTTATTTTATAATAATATTGGTAACACAATTATGTTGTTACATATATGGATTATATATAAAATAGTTATATAATTCTACCATGAACGTGGATTAAATATATTAATATAAATGTATTGTTAATATTATGTCAGGGTTGTAACGGTATAGATGGATTCCCAGTAAATCAACTAATTATATTTGATTTAAGTTAAAGATCAGATACCCAATCGTACAAGAACTTATTAAAATTATATAAGATTCAAAAAAAAAACTTTTTTGAAAAAAATAGAATATTAAAAGTTCTAAAATGGTACCTAAAGTAAAAATTTGAACACTTTTTTACTATTATTTACATTAGTATCGTTACATCCCTTTACCAATCAAAGAAATCTTCATGTCCATTAGAAATTTCGCTCAAGATGTTTCTTGATTTTTAGCTGATAATGTAGTAGTAGGATGATATTATTGATATATATAAATATAGAAAAATGAAAATTTTATAAAACGAGAGTAATTTCGATTCGTGCTCAAAGCGTGATTAAAGATTTTTAGAAATTTCCAGAGTTATTATATATAATTATAAATAATTTATTATTGTCAGTTTTGAAAAATGTTGTCTTCATTAGATCAAATATAAAATTTTGTTGTAAATGTATGACAAAATTTTTCACCCCAGAAATAAAGGTTTTTAGATCCAAAGATAATTAACGTTTTTGTTCAAAAGGTAAAGATCTTTTTATTAATTATTGTATACATTCGAAATATTTAAATTATATATTACACGTAAAATATTATGTTACACATTATCATTATTACAAATTTTTTAAATCTATTTTCAATATAGAATTACCATGTGGAATATTGCATATATATGATGTGAAAGTAGAATTAAATATGTAATATAATGATTTATAAGCTTTATTTTCCAACTCCAAAAACACTGCCAATTATATTATATATATATATATATATATATATATATATATATATATATACGAGTATATATACATATATATGATTCTCATATAATATATAATATTTGAAAAATATTATTTCACTTAAATTATAGTAGAATAAAATAAAATATTACGCTTAATTTAATATTTGGAACCTGTCATCAGCATATTCGCTCAATAAAATATAAAATTACATTATAAGTCTTTTATATCGTTTGATAACTTAATAAATATTTTTGTATACGTTTTTACCAAAGTACATTAATCGATTTTGATTAATTAATATATATATATATATATATATATATATTAGGGTGGTCCTTAGTATGGACATTTTTGAATTTCTTCGCTCCCAAGGGTTCAAATGGTTCCAAATTGATAAACAATTTTCTGAAAGTTTTATCTCTTAATATTAACTTTTAGATAGTGCGTAATTCAATCAAATTTCCATAAAATAGCATGGAAAAAATTTTGAAAATTTTTTTTAGGCATAACTTAGCGACAAATAAATTCAAAGTGAAAATTCGTGCCATTTTTTATTGAAAATTCGACGATCTGCAATATTTTTGAAAAAAAATTCATGCTATTTCCATACAAAACTTTGATTGAATTGCGCACTATCTAAAAGTGCAATATTAAGAGCTAAAACTTTCAGAGAATCAATTTGGAACCATTTGAGCCCTTGGGAGTAAGAAAATTCGAAAATGTCCATATTAAGGATCGCCCATATATATATATCTTATATATAAAATTCTTCTGTAACAATGTAAGTTTCATATTTCCTCCTAAACTATAATTCGGATTTTTATGAATCTTCCTGAAGTTTGTTCGGGAAATTTTTTAGAATGTTTTGATTCATAGAAATATAGTTAAATTGTAGAAATAAATAGAAAAAATTACAAAAAACCGCTTATCATTGTTTGCCCTTGAAAATATTTGAAGCTTAGTTTGACATTAAAAACAATTGAGGACTGTCATTTGCCAAACATTTCTATTCACTTATAGGCTAAGGCGATATTAGAATATAATAAATTCATAATTATGAATAAGGAAAATGTAATGTCTACATTATTAATGCCGAAAAGCAGCTGAGATGTGCCAAAAATTAAATTAATATAAGATGCAAATAATATAACATGCATTTGACAAGTGATGCAGTCTGCGCATGCGTCTGACGTGCGCGTGGTTTGCTTTTGCTTGCAATAATTTTGTTTGCGCACTTTGCGAACAGATTCGCCGTACGAATTCGCGCAAAGGAGCGAGCCATAAGTGATTGCGCTCAAACATATTCAATTTGCAGTCGTTTTGCCTTACTATACTAAGTCACAATACAAAAAAAATTATTTAGAAGTTTCAT